AAGACTGCCCTGGACGCGAAACGCTAAACACGCGGCCGCAGCGCAGTGACGCCAAGTCGCGGTTCATTCGACGAGAGACCTGACAGCACATTCAAATACGATGGGGCCGAAATTCCTGTAAGAGGCGACAATCGCCAAGGCCACGAGTGGTTTGGTCATGAGTTGCGAGCCTTTAGTTTATTCGCAAATATAATGCCCTCTGCAAGCTATATTTGGTGCTAAGACCAGGCTTGGACAAATCAGTTAGCTACACAAGGAGCGCGCAAGCGAATACACTTTCCAACATTGATGCCAGTGAGTCAGGTGGCCGAGCCAACCTCCAATGGGGAAAACTAAATTTCAACAGATACCGATCCGCGAGCCGACCATCAAGCAATTAGCGCACCAGAAGGCAAGCATCCCTGATTAAAAGGCAGCTGTCAGTATGCAGCAGCCTAGCGACTGCATCCTGAAATACTGCAAATTCCTGTGAACAACTTACTGTCTCTGGTGATGGACTCGAATGGGAATCCGGGCAGGCAACTATAGAGCGGTGCTTCGAAGGCCAATATGTACAGTACCCGCTTACTTACAGATTTTAAGTAGGGTGAATTTTCTACAATCTTCCATTTTCCCTCGCCCGTCGTTAATCCAGTTGGGGTTGGTGATACTATTAGAAAATGTACCTCAGTGACCTCGCTCAAGGTCAGCGAACACCCCCCGACATACACACGCTCGCCGTTGGTCCATTAGGGGCTAGTGATGGTATTAAAGTATTCCTCGGTGAGCTTGCTCGAGGTCAGCGAAGACCCCCAATTTACACGCGTAACTTTCTTAATTTACATGGTTATTGCGCACCGATTTATCCCCCAATATGCCCCACAAATTCTACCCTCTAAAACCAGATGCCCGTCTTGAAGTGGAGCGCGCTTCGTGCGCACTGTGGGGACCCCATGATAGTTCCTTAACGGAATCCGAAACGTCCGGCGAAAAAAAATAGTGTCCCAGCGATCGCGTCTACTGATTATTCTGGAGCACGGTTTGTCATATACATAGCATAAGCTATAGCTGCGCGACTGAAAAAAAACCGCGGGCTTGTGAGAGGAGGGAAAACATAAAAATGGCGTTTTGTGCTTGTGTGGGGGGCGAGGACTTACTTAACGCCCTCAGCTTGCATGTCGGCTCTCAACAGCTGCTTCACCTCCTTTTCGATCTGCGGCATGTCCACTAGTCGCTTCTTTCGGGTCTTTCGAAATCGTCGGCGCAAAACATTCTTCAGGGGCGGGGTGATGCCGTGCAGGTACTGGTATTCCCGTGGATCACGCCTGCAACAAGCGAAGAAGAGGGAATTGTAAAAAAAAGAAAATATGAACGGACTCAACGGACTTATCCTGATAGAAGCCGCATAACCGCGGGAAGGAAAGGAAACGAAACGAAAATAGTCACGCAAGAGCAGACAATCGTAAGTGCGACAATGGTACTGTATGTAGCCCCATTTTTAAAAGAAGAGGAAGCAAGGACGCCTGTAATAGGGGAAAATGGGGGGGGGGGCTTATGCGGGTGCGTCTTTATTTTATAGATCTACAGCAACGACCTGATACCCCACTTTGCCCTAATTTTCCCGAACACACTAAGGGGGCTCGGAGCTCGCATGGGTATGAATGCCCCTCAGACGGGAACAGACGCCTAACGAGCCGGTCCGCTTGTCAATCCACATCTGTTAAAGGTCCCTATTGCCGGACTTGGAACAAATAATTCACAGTTGAGTCAATACCAGCAGTGACGCCACTTCGTTATTTGGTTTTCAGCATAGCTATGAATGCCAGCGCCTCACGAATTGAGGCAAACGATTGCATCTCAGGTGTGTGTATAGGTAAAGAAGAAGCAGAAGAAGAAGGCATGTCGATTCCCGGAATCCTGGTTTTATTCGTCTGAGCTTTCGAACTCTTACT